GTAGAAACAGGAAACACTAGCAATTTATTTTTGTGATGTGAGAAGACATTTGTGCTTAGACACGAACCTGAGGTGGGAGTGAGCACACAGTTGTTAGGCACCAATCAATATTTGTATTCACCAAAGCACTGAGTGTTATGCTAGGAATAACAATGCACACTGATTGGAAAGACACCTGTTTTATTACAGAAGTAGTAAATTAAAAGTAAAAAACTAAAATTAAAAGTAAAAAGATGTTGGGGAATAACAGTTGTTGTTCTACCTGCCCCAGGGATTGTGTTTGCTGTTTTATTGATTACTGCATATATTAAGATTACTGTGCCTTGAATATGCACCGGGCACCTAGGAAAGTTCCTATTATTATTATGTGTATAATAAACATTAGTATTAATCCTAATGCACAGAAAAATGACAACAGTGATAATGGTGATGACCAGAAGAAACAAGATTGCTTTTTATGCTGCGTTTTCTTGCCTTAGTTATTACTGTCCTTGAAATTTATCTTGGATGTTGTCCTCGGTTTTAATTTTTCTATTGTTTTAACATGTTTACATAATAATGTATTTTTTTTTCTAAAAGATTTGACAGCACCCTATGGAGCTGTGGTTAGGATATGACTGAGAAGCCAAAAAGAATTCCATAAAAGAGCAGAGAAAAGAGCAAGAAAAGGGTCATGCTCGTTCTGTTTCTCCCTGCTGGATGAATGAAAACTAATCAAGGAAAGAACCAACCTAGAATTAAGGAGAAATGGCCTGACAGTTAGAACAATTAATCAGTGGAACAGCCTGCCTCCAGAGGTCGTGGGTGCTCCAACACTGGAGACTGGACAACCATTTGTCTGAAATGGTATTGGGCAGTGGTGGCGAACCTATGGCACCTATGCCAGAGGGGGCACTCAGAACCCTCTCTGTGGGCACACACACACGCACGCTGTCATCCCAGCCCCACCTCCCCCTCCTCACCAGCAGCCCCCCTGGAGGAGAGTCGCCCCCGGGCACAGCCCACGCGGAACAGCGCAGCCAAGGACATGGCAGCCGGGCAGTAGGGACAAGACTCCATCCTCTGTCCCGTCACGCAATGATGCTGTGGGGCGTGGGTGGAAGGCATGGCCATGGCGCTGCTGGGCCACCTGGGCAATCGGAGGGCCATGGAGGTGGTGGGTGGCCCTACGGGCAGTGGGGCGGGACAGGCAGGGTGGGTGGGGGCAGAGCAGGCGGGGTGGGGGACGGGGCGGTTTTGGGGCACTCGGTTTCTAAAACGTTCGCCATCACCGGTATAGGATTTCCTGCTTAAGCAAAGAGTTGGATTAGAAGACCTACAAAGTCCTTTTCAACTCTGTTATCCTGTAACTCTGTCATTCTGCTCCCCCAGATATTACACCACTCTGCATCTCCTGAAGAAACGCATCTCATTTACGACGTGTGTCTATGTCATTGGTGGGATCTGGCTGCTCTCGTGTGCCCTGGTAGCTCCTGCGGTTGCCCACACCTACCATGTGGAGTTCCAAAAGGAAGGCTTTGCCATCTGCGAGGAGTTCTGGATAGGAGAAGAGAGGGAGCACCTGGCCTATGCTTACAGCACCTTGATCATCACCTACATCCTGCCTCTTTCGGCCGTCTCGCTCTCCTACATCTGCATCACCCTCAAGCTGAAGAACCGTGTCGTTCCGGGTCATCCGACACAAAGCCAGGCAGAGTTTGACCGCCTGAGAAGAAGGAAGATCTTCCGCCTCCTGGTGTTGGTGGTGGCTGCTTTTGCCGTCTGCTGGCTCCCCATTCATGTCTTCAACATCATCCGTGACATCGATATCAACCTCATCAACAAAGAATACTTCCTTCTGTTGCAATTGTTCTGCCACTGGTTTGCCATGAGCTCCTCCTGCTATAATCCTTTCCTTTACGCCTGGTTGCATGATCGCTTCCGGAGCGAGTTGAAAGAAATGTTCGCCTTCAAGAAGAAAATAATCCCCGCCAATAATTGTGTGGCCGTCAGTGTTATGCTTTAGATACAGACTCAGTTTCCTGCAGCAAGTAAGTAAGGCAAAGTCTCTCTTGAGTGGAGTTCAGCTGCTTAGGACTTCACAGAGATGTCCATGTAGTTTTCATATAGTAAAAGGCATATGTGTGCAACGTAGGAATAGATTGCTGTTTTGTGCATCAGATATTTTGAATTACAAATCCAGTTACCCCAAATCAGGGAATGGCTAATGGTCAGGTGTCAGGCTAAGCCCAAGAATAATGAGAAGCAATTCAGTTCTTTATTTGCTTACAGTCAACAGACAGAATCTTGCCAGACTAAACCCTTACTGTTCCCATCCTAACAGGTATACCCTGGTAGATTCTAGAGAGTGGCTATTCTAACTCTCTTCCTCTGTCTCCTATCCAGCTTCGGGTTGTGCTGCCTCTTGTCTGGTCCCCCTTTCCCCCCTTTATTATTAAAAATATTTCAGTAAAAATTATATTTAAAAAATGAAAAAAGATAGATCAACTGATTTAAAATACCCTTTGACAAAGGCAAAACACCAAATTTAAATCACTAGAAAATAGGTCACGATTAAACTATTTTTTTTTAAATAAAACACATCTTTACCAAAAATTACATATGGCAAATTGAGCTCATAAGGGAGGGAAAACATTTTCTGTAATGCATATTTATTATCTAAAATGAATGAAAATGGATGACTTTTCAAGAGCATTGTTTCCTCATACGCACATCTGCAAATTTTAATGGGCAGATTCATTAATCGACCCAACCATCAACAAATAATGTATTTATTTGGAAGCAAGTCCCGTTTTCAATGGGATTTATCCACAAACAAATCGGTCTAGAACGTTTATAAAGCTGTAACTTTTCAGGTTTTGCTGAATTGTAGCTCGTGGCACCCATCACAATTGTCCCATGCACTAAGGGCGCTGTGTTCAAATCTGTCTAGCACATTTATAAAACTGTTTTCCTCTGGAAATTTGTTATTTTATGGTTCTAAAACCTCTTCCAGCTAGTGCCTGGAAAATTAATGGAGAATATAAAAGGGCTGATAGCAGATTAGCCTGAGATAACTTTTCAGATTTTGCTGAATTTTAGCTCGTGGCACCCTTCACCATTGCCCCATGCAGTGTAAGGGTGTTGTGTTCAGCCACACTTGCCATGTTGGCAAATCCTCTCTCCTATTACACAGCCACAGTACAAATGATGACACACAGTTTCTAGCGCACAAACTCCAATAGGTCGTGTAACATTTATTTATTTCGTGATTGATTGCCCATCAAAAGTACTTTCCTGGGAGTGAACCACTCATCCTACCTCCGTGTCCCTCAATAAAGCACGCACTTACTTTCCATCAATACAGGAAGTCATTTATTAAAGCAACTCTTCTCTCTATAGCCAGATAAAAAGTCTTTTCCCTGCCTGTGCATTGATTAGCCTTTAAAAACAGGAAAAAAATGACAATTTGTAACTGCTTTATTCCATCAATGGCTTTCAATGCTAAGCTGATTTTAGCTACTGGATTGTGGATTTCTTTTTTTCTTTTTTTACAAATACTCCCTCTGAAGTCTAATGTGAAAAAGACATATAAATGTCCTCAATCAGCTCGCACAATAAGAACTAACATTATCCTGTCCTAGAAAGCACTTACATTTTGCCCATCATGTTCCTTCTTGATAACACGGCAACTACTGGTTTCACCGTGTCATAATATTACTCACAAAACATCTTTATTCGAGGACAGAAGAATCTCCCAGACAGTACAATTCTTTCCTTCTGGAAACCAAGGTGACTATTTTAAGCAGCGGGTTTTAAGTAAAATGAAAGAGCGACACGGAGTGTACAGGTAGCTGTAATGGAGAAGAAGGTGCTATCTCAGGCTATCTGCTATCAGCCCTTTTATATTCTCCGTTAATTCTCCAGGCAGTAGCTGGAAGAGGTTTTGGAACCACAAACTAACAAATTTCCAGAGGAAAACATTGGTAAGGCTCATAAACCAGCATCAAATATTTCCAACTGTCTTTAACACGCTAATTTGCCCTCCCTTCAAAAGTCTTTGAAAAGACTCCCCACCTCAAGAACTTCTAATACAATCCTGGTACAAAACCATTTCCCACCTTCTGCAAAGGAGGAATAATTTGATTTTCTCTCTGCTTTAGAGCATCGGGACTATTCTTCTGAGGATCTAATTAGATTGCACCTTGTCTAAGCCTCTCACTCTAGAAGCGATTACAACATATTGAGCCCTAGGCTTTTGTTTGTTTGTGTTTGTGTATACTTCCGTTGCTACAGCACACAAGTCAGGAGGCATTAGGCAACGCAGCTAGTGTAAGTCCAAACATTTGATACAGGGAACTAAGGTTAGGAACATAAAGAACCAAATCAGATTATCAGATGTCTATTATTTATCTGCCTAGAATTGTGAGTGTTGACTGGCTGCAGTTCCTCTGCTTCTAATTTGGAGGCAAATTAGAAAAAAAACACAGCCTGATTTTTTTTCCTTAGCCCTTCACCTGCAAATGTTTCACAAAAGTGCAGCATTTTGCTTTGGTGCAGAGAAGAAAAGTACCTCACAAAGCCTTTTATATCCCACTAGTGCTTTTCTGAGAATTTATTTTGCCTTTTTCAAACATTCTCATTTAATGAAAATTAAATAACTTCCCCATTTTAAGGAAAAGAAAAAAGAAAATTGAGAAAAAAAATAAAACGTACTCTTAATAGAAACATAGGAAAACTGAGGACTGAAAAAGATCTAGTAGTAGTTCATTGAGTCTGCCCATTGAGGGTTTTTTCCTCGCCGTTGTTCTCCTTTTAATGAATTAATTTATTTTAATTAATATTTCTATTTTAATAAAATTAATTAAAAAATAATTATTAAATACATTTAATTAGTCTGAGAATGCAGTCTGAAATCAAACTTGGAAGAATTGGAATGTAAGCTTCAGCCTAACGCGATCATACTTTGCATTGTGGCACAATATACTTGTTTGACTTTGACTTAGCAAGTTATGTGAAGTCAGACATTCATTATTTGTACTGTATATCTGGCTTAGCCTAGTGCATGACCCTGCCAACTATGGCTTGGTCAACCATGCGTAGTGTGACAAAACATGACTTAGCATGAAGCATGTACCCTATTGCAGTGGTTCTCAACCTGTGGGTCGGGACCCCATTTGGGGTCGATCGACCATTTCATGGGGGTCGCCAAGCAAAGCTGTCCGCCATTTTTTTTGTCCGCCATTTTTTTTGTCCGCCATTTTTCCCCCCCTTTTCCAGCGGGTGCCTTACCTCCCTTGGGCTGGGCCAGCTGGTGGTCGGTCTGCTCCGTCTCTGCCGCTTGCCAGCTACGCCTCAGCCGGCGCAGGGGGCGGAACCATGCATGCGCGGCGCTCCCGGGCAGGGAAAGTCCTCGACTTACGACCGATTGGGTAGCCCTCGACTTACGACCAGTTTAGTCCTCGACTTACGACTGGTTTAGTCCTCGACTTACGACCGGTTTAGTCCTCGACTTACGACCGGTTGGGGTCGCGGCATTAAAAAGGTTGAGAACCACTGCCCTATTGGGATCAGGTAGCAATGGAGCCAATTCAAGCTTTTTTATCTCCCCCCCCCACCAGTACTACGTATATCTGTTGTGATATTGAATTATCACATGCTTTGTCCTAAGTAACCAAAGCACCTCATGTCAAGAAGTATGATCAATGAGTTATAAATCAGCCAAGTGGAAACTAATTACTTTTGTGGTGTCTGATGATAACCGGATGGATGAGCTTTAAAAAGGACATGGCGTAAACACCATAACCATAGAAGCATGGCTAATTGTTTGCTTTGCAACATGGCAATCTTCTCCAATCATCTACCTGTCCTGGGTTAAGTGACAATTTCAGAGGTGATGCATACCCATGGTATTGCTCAGGAATGCTTAGACTTAAAAAAATATAAGTTTCCATTTGAATTCCTGAAGTATGAATTTACTTTTCAAAAGCACTTTACATTTGAATATTTAATCTTTAAATGTGAATTTGGATAGATCAGGCACCCAAGAAAATTCCTATTAGGAAACACCATCTTATTTTTAATTTTCCATTATAATTGTAATTTACCACATTGGTCTAGAGAACAGGTTGTGACTGGTTCACACATCACATTAAGTTTTGTTTAATCGTGGCTCATGGAATAAGCCAAGGTCACCTAGGTTAACACAAAATACTAAGCTCAAATTATGAATTTGTACAATGATAAACTTAGTACAAGGGAAGTTGCATGGCTAATAGTTCTTAACTAAATCATTCTTCATCTCGCAAACAAGCTAATTATGGCATAGTTTGATATCTGAAGTGAGAACACAAATTACACTGATTGCATAGTTCTCTGAGTTCTCCAGAACAGGTCCTTCCTTCCTTCCTTCCTTCCTTCCTTCCTTCCTTCCTTCCTTCCTTCCTTCCTTCCTTCCTTCTTTCTATTTTTATAGTACTTTTTTCTCTTTCTCATCTTAAGTATTTGCTTTTGTTAATTTTTCTCTTTCTAATCTAAAAAAAAAAATCTGATCAAGTCATCTTAACAGAGATCTTAAACCTTCATACCTAGGACCTTTTTCCAATTGAAGTCACAATGTATCTCCAGCAGTGTCATCCATTGCACTCTTTATAATCAACTGTCCTACATAAAACACTGGCTTCTGGAGGGAAAGAGTCCTTTTCTGTTTGTTTGAAACATCACTCCTACAAAGGAAAGCCTAAGGCAATACTGTAGGATCAATGCCTATCAGCAAGACTGCAGGTGGACTTCAAATGCTAAAGAAGCAACGGCAGCCTTTTGTAGTCCTTGAAATCTAGAGATCCCTCCCCTCCCCTTTTCCCCCATCTGAAGAATTACAAAAGTTGTTAGCAAGTTAGGGAAGCTGATTCTGAGACAGCAGAGGGAATGAAGAGGGGAGGATCATAGGAGCAAATGATTAGTAAGAAAATCACCATTCACGGCCCACAGGATAATCTGGGAAACTATTTGAACTGTGATTTCCTC